TTTGGACTTCTTAATTAATTTATTCATATTTGTTTTCTTTTGCAATGCTGAAGATGAAACTCAGGMCCTTGTGCTTGCTAGGCAATGTTCTGCCACTGGGAACACCCCCAGCCCTTCTCCTTTATTTTCTTTTTTATCCCTAGGAAGCAAACAGGGGACTTGAGCCTACATAGACCAGGCCAAGTCTTTTCCGGCTAAGCTACACCTCCCAGTTTCAACTTTATTATCTTTCATATGTTCTTTTGTATCAAGAACAAGATGTTTACATCAGGTAGAAATAAAATTATTTTCTGTTCTGAATTTAGAGTGGGTTGTCACTGAAACATCTTAACTCTTTCCTTTCTTTTTGAGTATGTAGCTCCATTTTTAGCTCCTGAGGAGATGTGAAGCAGCAGATCTGGGCTTCTTATTAGTAGTATCTGAATGCTATACTGCCATCTAGGTGTTCAGAGGTAGAAGAAAAAATTTGCATCTGACTCTGAGGCAGGGAACTATCTTTGTGTTTGTGGGTATAAAAGAAAAGAGAAACCATGCTTTGAAGAAAAGTTTGTTATCAATTTTAATGCAATTCAATGCAATTTTTTTTGTTCTTATATCCAGGAAGGAATGACAATAAATTCAAAAGTGTACAGAATCCCAATGGTGACACAAAAAGATGAAAATATTCTGAACCTTCACCTAGAAAACTACCACATTCCTTCTTCAGGACATGAAATGTGTTACATTGTTATTAAAGAAATTTTGATTCTTAAACTGTATCTCTTAGCTTCTTGGATAGGTTTGTTAATAATCAATTAAAACAAAATCTGGAAAATCCAAATTTTGTTTCTCAATAAAATTTTTAAAACTCATTTGTGTCCTTAAATATACAGATCACTTTAATATATACTTCTGGATGTAGGTCTGAATGCTGTTTATTTCTTCCATTCACTATTTTCTATCCAAGGAGCTCAGTGATTATGGAGCTTTACAAAAAGACCAGCACCAACAACAAAATTAATAAGAGTACAGTATTATAGTTAATATAGAACAGCAGACATACAAGCCCTACTACCAAAAGGAGCAATCTATTAAATATCTTATTTTCTTATTGTATGTCTCATATTTCCTTGGGTCCTTATCTTTGGTTATTTTATTTTCTCCTTACTTTTTATTCAAAATAATAGCACCTTTGTTCTTGAACATACTCGTAGAGTGGCGTACTACTATCTATGTAGAGGGAACCTGAGTCCATTCTTGCCTTCCTGTGGTAATCTCTTGCCTCAGAGCCTCTTGTCTGCGTATCATCTACATCCTGACTGTACCTACTGATGCCACCAGATGGATTAGATCCGGACTCTTGCTCTTGACTTCCCCCACCCAATATGGTTGAATTTCTTGATAAATACCTATACTCTTCAGATCCCATAGGGTCTTGACTATACAGTGAATAATTAGAAAAGGATCTTTGACTTCCTGTTATGTTGTCAATTGATTGCTCATAGGTGTTACTTGGTTGGCTCTGGCTATATTTTTGCCTCTCATTAGTGAAACCAGATTGCTTTCTAGTAGAAGAAAATGACATGTATTGTCCATCATTAGATCCAGACTGGTCATATGATGGGCTGTGAATAGAACCCTGATTTCCAATTGTACCAAATTGAGACTGAACATTTGTGTTACTTGACTGTTCAGAGGTTATTGTAGAATGGGCATGATTAGATCCTTGTCTTGTTATATGGGATCCAGACTGTTCCTGGGAATCAACTAATTGCCCTTGACTTGCTTCAAACTGTCCATGCTTTGAAACCTGCCTTCCTTCTCTTCCAGATGCTTTGAATTCAGTTTGGTCAGATATAGAAAAGGATTGTCCATGTGTAGACACGGAAGTACTTATAKGTCTGTCTGTTGACCTCAAAGGGCTAGAAGTGCGACTGCTACTTCTGCTATGCCCAGAAGGTCCATAACCAGATTGCCCATAGTCATATTCTGAACGACCATAGCTGCCGTGTCTCCAACCATGACCTGATCCATGTCTTTGTTTTCTGTTGTTCTGTGACTCAAAATGTCTTCTTCCAGACTGACCATGAATACTACTAGATTGTGATCTGACACTATCTCTTGACTGCTGGTGAATATTATGTGATTGTGTGTGACCAGATCCCAATTCACCATGTTGAGATCCAGCATGGCTATGAGCRGATGCTGAGTGTCTTTGTGAGATGGCTGATTTATGTTCTCTGTCAGTGGACGCATTATGAGCAGGTGATCTTCTTGGAGTTACGTGGGAACTACTCTCTGGGGATTGTCCAAGGCCAGAATGAGCATGTCTAGTACTTCCTTGGGACTGCTCATGACCACTTTGATGTCTCTCTGAATGAGTGGATCCGGCCTCTCCATGTTGAGATCCAGCATGGCCCTGAGAGGATCCTGAGTGTCTGTGGGAGACTCCTGAGTGCTCTTCACTCTCCCTGGACTCAGTGTGCATAGGCGTCCTTTGTGGAGTTGTCCTGGATCCAGAGTGTGTGGATTGTCT